GCGCTATGATAAAGAAGAAAATGAAAATGATCGAAAAAAGAAAAAGTGGCAGCACCGTCTTCTTTTTCGTGCGGTAGTTCGGAGGCTTGGAGGACGTTCGCTGTCATCGCCTTCCTGCGCGTTCGCAGAGATGCCGACAGTCGCGCTCATCTGGTATCCTTCTGTTACTCCTCCTTCCACTCCTCCCAATCTGACGTCGCCTTGGCACGTGACGATTGACGTGTACACTGGCGTGGATGAGAGCCACGCTTGGCAAGCAGTGGACGAAATCCTGAAACGCCAGTCGAGCCTGGTCTTTGAAGCGTTTTTCACTGGACAGGACATCGCTCGCCTCAGGACGAGGGCTGCATTTATCACGGCAAGACGCGGCCCGGGCCAGGCCTCGTTCCTCAAACTCAACGATGATGAATCATGCACCGGACAGCTAGGAAAGCACAAATTAACAGCTCTCGTGTCGTGCCACGCTGTGCAAGAGCTGCGAGCGCAACTCGAGCGGTCGGTCTTAGTGGGTATGCGCGACCCCGATACCATGAAGAAGGGTCGATACATACCCCATATGACGCTTGGAAGCATGGACGACCTCAAGCACCTTGTAGGCCAGCGGGTGGAGGGCGGCAAGCTCGAGCTCAAAGTGGTTGGGGGGACCAGAATTGACACGCCATGGCTCGTCCAGAGCCCCCATGCAGCTGCGCCAAGTGCAAAGAGACAACGTATCGACGGCTCTCTGGCTAATGACCCTCCCACTGTCAAGAAGCTCATGGTGGCACGGGACAACGCGTTGGCCGAGCTCGAAGGTCAGCTCGTGGGGGTCGAGCCGGTGAAGCGCCAAATCCGAATGCTATGCGAGACTGCGATTGCGACGGAGCGCCGAGAGTTGCTCGGCATTGAGAGGAGACCCGTGGGGAACCACATGCTGTTTATCGGGAATCCTGGTACGGGCAAATCAACCGTCGCTGAGATCGTCGCACGTCTTCTGCACAGCATAGGTGCTGTTCCTACTGCCAAGCTGTCTATCCATGAAAATGCACGATCAGCACTATGCGGCACCACGTTGGGTAGCACTGCGCATCAGACAAAGGAGGTACTCTTGTCTGCCATGTGCACAGGCCTCAAATGGGAGAATGTCGGCCCAACTCCGCCGGGCAAACCAGAAGAGGACCAGCTCGACTGCCCTGATCTTGCAAAGGAACTTGCAAGGAGAAAAGCCTCGCAAGTTCAGTTCGAACCGGCTGATTGGGACAAATTCAACATCACTGCTCTGCGCTCTACCCATTTCATCCTGGTCAACAAGACAAAAGTACTATCGGAGTACTATCGGCCTGTGCAGGAGGGTGGTACGCTCATGTTGGACGAGGCATATTCACTCCTCCCAATGAAAGGCGGCGAAGACTACTCAACGGAGGCAATCACCCAGCTCGTGGCGCTAGCTGATAAGCTCCGGGGGAAATTGGCTATCATCCTCGCCGGCTACTGGGAGCAGCCCAACAATCGGGACATCAAGCATTTGCTTCGGGAGAACAGTGGCCTGGATTCGCGCTTCCCTCTTCACAACCGGATTGATTTTCCCGACTACAAACCACCCGAGCTCCTCAAGATAGCGAAAAACATGATGGATTGGCATGAGAATAAGCTGGATGAGAAGGATGATGGTGCGGCGCGGCGTGCGCTGAGTGAAAAACTCAGCGTGCCTTTACCAGGTAATGCGCGCGATGTGCGTAGCATTCTCGAGGCTGCGATGCGGAAGCGTGATCTTCGAATCGCAGCCATTGATGGCCCGACGCGAGACGATCTCACGATCTTGAAAGCTGAAGACTTCGCTGAGGAAAAACAACCCTCGGTGTACTGAAGATGCCTCTAATAAATAAAACGGACACCTCTACTAGGAGATGGGTAAAAAGGAACAGGTCCCCGCCCTGCGGTCTTAAAAAGTCCAAACAACTCAACGACTCCCCAAATTTGCAGCAACTACCCTGGGCTGAGCGTTTTTGATCTCTGGGTCAGTGGGCGCCCGCCCGCCGCCTCTGACAGAGTCTGAGGGGGTCGGGCCCCGGCTCGACTGAAAACAAAAACAAAATGCAGAAACAGTCAAAAACAGCCTGCGTGCTGCGAGAGCGGCGCTGCGCGCCGCCTACCTCGTGCGGGTGTGAGTGACCCCAAACCGCAAACGGTCGTCTGCATCCAAAAAACATGCACATGCACCTGTACCTTGGGTTTTTCTGTGTGCACGTGCACCTTTGGCCCCCATGAGGTAACGATTTACGGTTCGGGCGACGAACCGTGGATTTACAACAACACGACCGTCGCGAGTATTCCGTACGTCGGCACCACCGACTGCAGCGGCGCCGTCGCTCAACGCCGCATTGAGGTCCGTGAAGGACAAACCTGTACCTCTACCTGACAACTGACAAAGCTGTGACGACACGAGCATCTCACGCGATCCAATGCTAATGAAGCCGGTACTGCGATTTCTTTTTCCGACTCTTTGGAAGAGAGAACGACGGACAGACAGAGATCGACTCTCACATAGCCCTAATTCGCGCGCGCGCCGGCACACGAGCGAACGCTTCGTGCACCGGCGCCGGGACGCTGTCCGCTGCACACAAGATGTGGGAATTTCGGAACTAATGGGAACGCGGCGCCACGATGGCCTCAATACGTGTTGTAACTTTCAAGTGTGTTGTGTTGGCCCCATAGCCTGCCCCCTGCCTCGCGTAGCTCTTGCCCCCCCTTGCCTGCTCATCGTCCCGGCGCCCACATCTCGACCTTCTTGGGCAGCAGCTGGTTCGAAAGGTCCTCTCCGTGGCCTAGGCAGGCGTCCTCGCCCTTGCCCCAGGTGAAGACGGCGCCGTCGGCGGTGATGGCGAGGCTGTGGGCGCCTCCAGCCGACACAGCGACGACGCGCAGGCCAGTCAACGCCTCGACCTTCTTGGGCAGCAACTGGTTCTGCTGGTCGCCGTGGCCCAGCCGGCCAAAGGCTCCATAGCCCCAGCTCCAGACGGCGCCGTCGGCGGTGATGGCGAGGCTGTGCCATTCGCCAGCAGACACGGCGACGACGCGCCGCCCAGCTAACGCCTCGACCTTCTTGGGCAGCAGCTGCAGCTGCTGGTCGCCGTGGCCCAGCCGGCCCTCGCATCCCCAGCCCCAGCTCCAGACGCCGCCGTCGGCGGTGAGGGCAAGGCTGTGGAAGTATCCAGCCGACACAGCGACGACACGCTGCCCAGGTAACGCCTCGACCTTCTTGGGCAGCAGCTGGTCCTGCCCGTCGCCGTGGCCCAGCCGGCCATAGGCAGCACCGCCCCAGCTCCAGACGGCGCCGTCAGTGGTTACGGCGAGGCTATGTTCTCCAGCCGACACAGCGACGACGCGCTGGCCAGCAAAGGCCTCGATCTTCTTGGGCAGTAGCTGCTCTTGCTCGTCGCCGTGGCCCAGCTGGCCAGCACCTCCACCGCCCCAGCTCCAGACGCTGCCGTTGGCGGCGAGGGCTAGGCTGTGACCATCTCCAGCCGACACGCTCACAGCACGCTCGCCGCCCAGCGGGGAAGGGAGGCGGGTCGGCGTGTTGAGCCGCGTCACGCCCTCACCGTGGCCGAGCAGTCCTGGAGCGTAGGACGGCGTTGAGCCACACGACGAGAGCCACCCCTCGCCGTCGATGAAGAGGCTGTGCAGATTGCCCGCCGCCAGCCTCGCCAGCGGGTTGGACTCGCAAAGCAACGCAGCGAAGCACAGCCACCGCACGGCGCAGCACTCGCCCTCTGGCTGCGCCGGCAGCTCGTAGCCGCGCTCTTGCGCCCGCAAGCGGATGCCCTCCACCGCAAGCAAGGCGTGAAAGAGGAGCGAGACGGCCGCGACGCGAGCGATGTCGGCGGGGTCGCAGCGAGAGAGGGCGCGCACGAGAAGCTCCGTGGGGAGGTCGAGGAGGCGGGCGGGCGGCGGCGTGTCTGGCGAGGGCGGGGAGGCTTCTTTTAGAAAAAGAAATCTCGGGCACAGTCTCAGGAGCACCCCTCTCCTTAGGCGTGCCGTTCTCCCATCCCTCCCTTTGTGTGTTTTCTTTCTTTCTTTCTTTCCCTCTCCTTAAAATCCCTGTGTGGTGGCGGCGTGCCGTCCTCCCATCCATCTTTGGCCGCGTTGGGTAGCGAGGATTGGTGTAACCCGAGCCACGGAGGCGTGTTTTCTGACGGCCGACCGTCAGTGCACGGAGTTGCCCGATGCCAACTGGGCGCGAGAGCTGCGCCGCGCCGCCCACGCCATCAGAGCTGCCTTCGGCGCCGCTGCCCGCGACAGTCGTCACCGCGCCCGTCGCCACCTCCACCCGCCGGATCTTGATTCTTGTGGCTCCAGAAGTCTGCCACGAACAGCGCGCTGCCGTCGGGGCTGACGGCGCCGATTGGGCCGTTGAACTGAGCCGCGTCGCCCACGCCATCCCCCGATTCGTTCTCTTGCTCGCTTGCCGAGCGTCATACGACGGCCGGTGTGGTCGTTTCCCTCGTTGTTGGTGTCGCTTTCTCCGCTGCCGCCTTTCGTCTTCGCCGGCTTCTCCCGGCTCCACCGGTTCCGAGAGTGTCGACGGCCCGGCCGAGGTTTCCCCGGGCGAGGACGGCGGCATAGGGTCGCGTCGCCTCCCCGCCCAGGGAGGTCGGGCCGGCTCTCCCTGGTCGACGAGTCGCGCCCGCATCCGCGGTCTCTCTATCGTCCTCGGCTCGCCCCTCCCCTCCGCTGGCCCCTCATCGAGCTCGGAGGGCCGTGGCTCCCCTTGCCGTAGATCGCGGTGGTCCCCGGCCGCCGCCGCGACGGGTCTACCTCCGGTGGGCTCGCACGGCCCGACTCCACTCGCAGAGGCCGAGTCAGCTCGATCCTCCCCTCCCCCGACAGTTGACTCCAGGTCTCGCCCGGGGCCCTCCGGTCCTGGCCCTCCGGATTGGCGGGTCGGAGTGCAGTCACGCGGCTCGGTTTTCTCTTTTCGATAGAATATCCGCCCAAAACGCTGGCGATACAACCCGACGATGGCGCCGGAAACGCTCGTCACGAGCACTGCGATCGCGGTTGGTCTCTCGACGCTGATATCGCTGCGCTGCGTCGGTCGCAAGCCCCTATCCGCGGCTGCGCTGCTAGCCGCCGTCCACTGCGCCGACATCGAGTTTTACCTGAGGATGCTGGTGGTCGAGCTGCTCGCGGCCTGGCGGCGCCAGCGCGCCGACGTGGGAGAGCCCGATCGCACGCGCTACTGCTGCTGGCCCACCGACCTGGACCACTCGGCGAGTATGAACCACGCCAAATACTTGCGGTTTGTCAATTACGCACAGCGCCAGTTTTGGATGCGCAACGGCGTGTGGGCGGTCTGCAGGAAGCGCTCGCCGCCGGTCAGGCTCGTCGTCGCCGCCTCGACGCTGCGCGTGACGCGGCCGGTGGCTCGGCTCTCTCGGCGCCACGCCCCTCCTCGTGCCTATGCCTCTCTTCATAGCTGCAGCCGTGAACAGGTCCGCTGCTTCGAGCGGTTCGCCGTGACGACGCGGCTGTGAACAGCGTCTCTTCACACCCATGGCTGTGAACAGGTCCGCTGCTTTGAGCGGTTCGCCGTGACCACCCGGCTGCTTGCGTGGGACGACCGCGCCTTCTTCCTGCAGCAGACCCCTAGATGCATGGCAGCGCACAGCAGGCCTGTAGACAGTGGCAGCAGGCCTCTGGTTGCCTCGGGGCATCGCCTTGCAGCATGCGCCGCACACGCCCCAGGCTTCCGGAAGAAGAGGCACTGCCGCCTAGCCGCCCGGCGGGGTGCGCTGCGGAGTGGACACAGACCTAGGCCTAGACACACTCAGAGGAGGCACTGCCGCTTGACACAGACCTAGGCCTAGACACACAGACCTCGGGCGCGGGGCACGCACCGGGGCGAGTGGGCGGCGGCACAGACCAGACGCCGTGAGGTGGCCACGCGCCCCGCACGGCACGCACCGCTGCACAGAGCACCGACACCGCAGAGCGCCGCAGAGCACCGCAGAGCACCGCAGAGCACCGCAGAGCACCGCAGAGCACCGCAGAGCACCGCAGAGCACCGCAGAGCACCGCAGAGCACCGCAGAGCACCGCAGAGCACCGCAGAGCACCGCAGAGCGCCGCAGAGCACCGCAGAGCACCGCAGAGCGCCGCAGAGCGCCGCAGAGCACCGCAGAGCACCGCAGAGCACCGCAGAGCACCGCAGAGCACCGACACCGCAGAGCACCGCAGAGCACCGCAGAGCACCGCAGAGCGCCGCAGAGCGCCGCAGAGCATCTCACTGCAGAGCGCCGCAGAGCGCCGCAGAGCGCCGCCTCCTCCCATCCGCCTCCTCTCGCCGCGCAGGCAGCACACCTTTGAGTCTGCTGACGACGGCGCCCGAGAGAGAGAGAGAGGGAGAGGGAGGGGGAGGGAGAGGGAGGGAGAGGGAGAGGGAGGGAGAGGGAGGGAGGAAGCGAGAGAGAGAGGGAGAGGGAGAGAGAGTGAGGGAGAGAGAGAGAGAGAGATGCGGCGGGCAGAGGCCCACACTGGTTCGACACACCGGCACACTCAGCACAAGACGCCCGCTCTCCTCACGGCCGCCTGTCTGGTTTCTGACGGGGCGGCGTGTTCTCTCTGTAGGCGACCTGCTCGCCGAATGCCTCATCCGCCACCGACCGACGAGCGAGGCCGGTGGGGCAGACACCCGAGAGTGCCCGAGATTGCCCGAGATTGCCCGAGATTGCCCGAGAGTGCCCGAGATTGCCCGAGGGCGGGGACGACGGACGCACCGCTCCAGCACGGTGTCGCTACCCACCCCCACCCCCACCCCACCCCTACCCTACCCCAAACCCAACCCCGACCCCACCCCGACCCCACCCTGACCCCCCCCTTTCCCCCCCCACCCCACCCCACCTTTACCCCCCCTTCCCCTACCCCCCCCCCCCCCCCCGCACCAACTAGGCGCCGTCCCGCCCACCGATTTGCTCGAGTCGCTCGCCGCCGACGCACACGACTCCAGATGCGGAACCTCTGCCCATCTCTGCCCGTATCTCCCCGTATCTCCCCGTATCTCCCAACATCCGACCTGCACGCGAGAAGGCGCATTCGGCACAGCTGCAGCCGCATCCGCTGTGCCGTTCAGAGAGAGGGGTGGGAGAGGGTGGTTGGCAGGGCGCGCCGGTCGCCCCGGTCGCCTCGGAGCGGCGAGATGACCCGAGATGACCCGAGATGACCCGAGATGACCCGAGATGACCCGAGATGACCCGAGATGACCCGAGATGACCCGAGATTGCCCCTGATCGCAGGCCGAGAAGGAGTCGGCGCCCTGTCTCGTGTCGCCGCCGCCGCCACCAGAGCTCGAGGCGAGATCGCCCGAGATTGCCCGAGATTGCCCGACATCACCACTTCCGGCCCACGCACACACGTCTCCGAGAGAGACAGACACAGTCACAGACAGACACAGACACAGACACAGACACACACACACACACACACAGACACACACACACACACACACACACACACACACACACACACACACACACACACACCACGCAGGCACCGCTCGCGCGGCCATGCGACCCGGCTCCAGACCCCGAGAGGACTGCTCCCCAGACCCGCCGGCCCTCTTACACAGTGGTGTCTCTTCACAGGCGTGGATCGAGTATGTCCAGCTGGCGACGAGCGCAGCGCACTGAGCACCGCAGCGGCTTGCGCTCGGCCAGTAGTCTTGCGACGCACGGAAGGCCTCAGAGCAAAACTGGGCGCTGCTCGAGCCTCCTCGCGTCGGAGGAGCGGGGAGGGGGGAACCAACGCAGAGCAGGGTGGTCGGGCTGATCATCTGCTTGCGTGGACCGCGATGCCGTCGCGCGCACGCCCTGGCCCGTGTCTCGCTGCCTCTGGCCCGGCGCTGAGTCGCCCCTTCTGATTGGCCTTCTGCTCGCGTTTTTGTGATCCCTTATTCCGTCGGCCACGGCGTCTTTTCCTTTTTTGCGGTGTGCTGCGCCGCGCAAAACCAAAGCAAGGAGCCCCACCCCCACACCCACACCCACACCCACCCACCCACCCACCCACACCCGAACCCCCAAACGGCAAACCCCCTCTTAAAGCCGTATCTTCAGCGCAGGCCCCCGAGAAAGAAAGAAAGAAAACAGATAACCCAAGGGAGGGATGCGGATGGGAGGACGGCACGCCGCCACCACACAGGGATTTTAAGGAGAGGAGTGTGGTGCTAGCCGTCGCCCACCCTATCCCTTGGTCGTCTGCCTCTTTCGCAGTCCAAAAAAGAAAGAAAGAAAACGGACTACCCAAGGGAGGGATAAAGAAAAGAAAGAAAGAAAACGGACACCCCAAGGGAGGGATGGGAGGACGGCAAGGGAGGGATGGCTCCAATTATGACGGCCCTCAAAATTCTTTTGAATTTCCTCGCGATGACCCAAAAAAGAAAATAAAAAAGAAATGGGCCACCCCCGATCGCAGCACTTCGTGTTGGAGAGTCGAGATATTGAGAGTGTGACTAGGAGGGAGGGAGGCGGCCGGGCGGCAGTACTCGTTCGGACTTTGCGAGCCGTGCGCGCGCGCCGAGGCGCCCGCGGCGCGCGCCCGCCCGGCTGCCAGTAGGAGGCGGCGTAATATGGCCATAGTACAGCCCTTGAGGAGGAGGAAGAGGCTGGCTGGCAGTGCTGTATGCCGCCGTGGGGCAGTTTTGGGGTGCTGACCCACGCCCAGGGGGCTGCAGAACGCGTCCGCAGCCGGGACAATTCGCCCCCCCAGCCGAGGCCGGTCGAAGCCCACTTGAGTGCAGCCATGAGGAGTCCTCTTGGTGCTCCTGGCGGCCGTTTGAACCTCGGGCGCGCGCCGATGGGGGGGGGGGGGGGTCTTGCTTGCTCCACACCGAGCGCCATCGGTCCGGACCGGTGCTTGCACCGAGGGTCGGCTTGCACAAGGTCTGAGCCGCGGGCGCTCGGCGCCAAGTGCAGTGTCACGCTCGCGCTGGAGCGGGACACAATGGGGAACCCTCGTTTCCTAGTCACTCGGTCCCCCAACGGAAGAGGCCTCGCTCCTATTGGAACTGGCCAACATCAGATTTGCCTCGTGCGACGCTGAATACATCATCGCGACCTTGAGGGACGAGGTTGTTGACATCGGTGCGAGCTCAGTGCCACCCTTGCCCATCTGCAGGAAGTTGTCTTGCACCTTCATACCCTTCATACCACGGTAAAGGGTCAACTCGGTGTTGGCCTGCGCCGACTTCCCTGCCACTGTTCGCAGCCTCTTGGTGCGCGGGTGCGCGAGGTGCTGCTCGAGCGCGGGCTGTGCAACCCCGCCTCGCTGCCGTCTCTCCGCGACTGCGGCGTCGACGCACTGGTGGCTCGGGCCGGGCCAGCAGATCGCCGACGAGGACGGGTCCGCCTGGCCGCACGGCGCGTTCGTCTGCCTGTACGCGGAGCCGTCTGCGCACCTCGACTGCTTCCTCGCGTGCCGTCCTCCAAGCTGATGAGTCTGCGTGAGATGAGTATTACGCAGGACGCAGGTACGAAACACTCTGTGAAAAAGAGCTGGGTTCGCACGGGTTAGGGGACGGGTTTCTTTTTACCCATCTTCGGCGGCCACTGAACGCGCCAATGCTGCGGGCGTGTCGCCGGAGCCTCTGCAGCTGCCCGGACGCCGACAACGTCTTCCTTCGCATCCTGAGGCGTCAGCACGCCGCCGACATCGTCGAGGACGGCGAGCGGCTGCTGACATTCCACGACCACCGCCCTGCCTCCGACCTACACCTACTCGTCATCCCAAAGCGCTTCGTACGTGATGCCTCCCAGCTGCGACCCGCCGACGCGCCGCTCGTGCACGAAATGCACTCCACGGCGCATCGGCTGGCGCGCAGACTTGCAGCCGAAGCCTTCGATGAGGAGCAGCTCTCTCTGGGATTCCATTGGCCTCCCGCCCTCTCTGTGCCGTGGCTGCACCTGCACGCAATCTACCCACGCGCGCGAAGGCGATGGCCGTGGAAGTGGACGCCGCTCGGCTTCGTCAGCCCCGAGCGCGTGATTGATCGGCTGCAGAGGCAGTCACTAGCCTTCCGACCGCCGGGTGAGAGGTGATAGTGTCGGTAGCTGCTTTCGTGGGTGGGCAGCCAGGCTTCTCCTATGGCGCTGCTTCTCGAGCTCCAACTCGTAAAATTGTGCCCAATCAGTGTTGCTCCGCGCGACCTCGTGCGCTGCCACCGTTCCCTTGACACCGCCACCTGGTCGAGCGCGTCGCCGAGCAGACCCTTGGCCACGCCCCCGAGGTCGCGCAGCTGCTCCACCGAGAGAGATACACAGAGAGAGAGAGAACACACGCTCAGGAGCCTCCTGGTCATGCGGAGCGGCATCTAGGAGACGAGGAGCATCTCAGCACCCGTATCATCTCAGTCATCCTTAGGTAAGATGGCTATTTTTAGGAGCCAGCAGCCATTCTGGTATGAAACTTGGAGCACTTGGAGTGCATTCGGCCCTCACATCCAGGGCCGGGGAGCTATGAAGCGCACCCAGCGGGCCGGATGCTCGACATCGGGTTGCGGGCAAGAGAGCCCTACAACTGTAGCCCTGGGGGGTGCGCGTGAAACACAGAATTTTACAAAACATGAAAAGATACACATATGAACGCAGTCCGCACGAGCGGCGAGGGTGGCGCGGAGGCCGCGCCGAGCAGCGAGGCGGTGCCAGAGGAGGTCGTGATAGCGGCTGGGCAAGGCGAGGAGGCGCCGGTGCTGGCGTGGCTTGACGGCGGCGGGCGGGTCGACGCGACGTTCGAGTACACCTTTGGTGTCGGCTGCTGTTCGAGCGGCATGACGCTGCTGATGCTCGCAATGGCCAACGGCTACGCGGGGCTGTCCGAGGCGCTTCTGCGGTGCGGTGCGGATGTCTCGTTGAAGAACAGCAACGGCTGCACCGCGCTGAGCCTCGCCGCCTTTAACGGCCGCGAGAAGCTGGTCGAGCTGGCATTGCGGCACGGCGCGGAGATCGACCAGAAAGGCCGCAATGGCATGACTGCGCTGATGCAGGCCTCAGGTGGCGGCGATGAGCGGGTGGTCGACGCGCTGAGTCGACGCGGCGCAGAGATCAACCTGCAGGACAGCGCCGGCAGCACAGCGCTGATGTTCGCCGCGCACTACGGCCATCCCGCCGTGGTGCTTCGTTTGCTGCGGGCGGGCGCTGACATGACGTTGCGCACTAGCGGCGGCAGGACGGCGCTGCAGATTGCCACAAAGGCGGGCCGCACCGAGTGCGTCGATGCTTTCAGGACGTACCTCGGGGAGCTGGGTGCGGCGCGGAGCAAGGCGCCGTCGGCTGAGGCAGGCGGCGCGCAGGCGGGAGGAGAAGACGCGAGCGAGGCGGCGGCGAGCGGCGAGGGTGGAGAGGCGGCCGCGCCGAGCAGCGGGGCGGTGCTAGAGGAGGTGATGCTAGCGGCAAAGCGAGGCGAGGAGGCGGCGGTGCTGGCGTGGCTCGATTGCGGCGGGCGGATCGACGTGACGTTCGAGTACACCTTTAGTGATGGCACCCGTTTGAGCGGCATGACGCTGCTGATGGTCGCAACCGCGTGCAGCCACGAGGCGCTAGCTGAGGCGCTTCTGCGGCGCGGCGCAGATGTCTCGTTGCAGAGCAGCGGCGGTGGCACCGCGCTGGTTCTCGCCGCCACCAACGGCTACGAGAAGTTGGTCGAGCTGGTATTGCGGCACGGCGCGGAGATCAATCAGAGACGCTGCACGACCGGCGGCACTGCGCTGATGGAGGCCGCATACAGAGGCCACGAGCGGGTGGTAGACACGCTCATTCGGCACGGCGCGGAGATCGACCCGAATTGCCGCAATGGCTACACTGCGCTGATGCACGCCGCCGGGAACGGCCACGAGCGGGTGGTCGACACGCTGATCCGGCACGGCGCGGCGATGAACCTGCAGGCCATCGACGGCGATACCGCACTGATTCTTGCCGCTTATTTTGGACAATCCGACGTCGTGCGGCAGCTGCTGAGGGCGGGCGCAGATATGACGCTGTGCAATAACAAAGGCATGACCGCGCTGCACTATGCCAAGGAGAAGGGCCACCCCGAGTGTGCGCGCGCCCTCGAGGAGCATGCGGTGGCCAAGGCGGCGGCCGAGGCGGCGGCGGAGGAGGCGGCGAGGGCTGCGAAGGCGGCGGCGAGGGAGGCGGAGAGGTCGGCGCAGGAGAAGGAGGCGGCGCGGCACGCCGAGGAGCTGCTGGCGGAGGTCGAGGCGGAGAAGCGCGCCAAGGGCAAGAAGGGCAAGAAGAAGAAGAAGGGCGGCGGGGCGGGCGGGGCGGGGCCGTCGCAGGAGACGGAGGAGGGTGCCGAGGCGCCGGCAGAGGCAGCCGCAGCCAAGCCCGCGCCGTTGGACAGGGAGGGGCTGCTCCGGCTTCTCGAGAAGTGTCACGAGGAGCGGATCCGGCTCGGCATCACGGCGGAGAGCCAGGCGGCGGCGTCGGCAGCGGTGGCTAAGGCGGTGCGTTTGGACGCGGAGGCGGACGAGGCGGAGGACGCGGCGGAGGCGGACGAGGAGGAAGAGGCGGCGGCCGAGGCGGCGCTGGCAGCTGCCAAGGTGGCGAGGGCGGAGGCCAGGGCGGCGGAAGCGGCGGCCAAGGCGGCGCTGGAGGAGGCCAAGGCGGCGCTGGAGGCAAGGTTGGCGGTGGCTATGGCGGCGCGTGAACAGAGCGAGGCGGCGCTTGAGGAGGCGGCGGCCGCTGCAGACGCGAGGCGTGCTACTGCGGCCGCTTCGAGGGCCAGGGCGGCCACTGCCAGGACTGCGGCGGAGGCAGCGCAGCGCTCGAGCGATTCTAAGATCAGGTCTGCCACCTCCCCGCTGGAAACGAAAATCTAAGTTACAAATCTCGAATAAATCTCGAAGCACACTTGAATGCTCACTTGGCAGGTAACATATGCGCCACGCGCCCCAACCGCTCCTCTGGTCGCCGCCGGCCTCCGCGGCGGCGGCGATGTCCCAGCGCCACCCATCGGCCAGCCCTCAGATCGATCGATCAGCGCTCAAAGTCGGCTTCAGATCCGAGAACGCTGCTGGCGCCGCCGCCGATCCCAGCGGCGACGCCAGCAGCTTCCTCTGCTCTCCAATGCGCCGAGAAGCGACGCGGGGGTGCTCGGCCCGCCATGCACGACGAAGGCTCCGCCGGGCGCGCGTCGGCCGGTCCGGTGGCACCCTCTGCGCGCGGCACCTGCCGGCGCCCCGACGACAGCCGTCGCGCCACCGCTGATGGAGGGGCGGTCGGCGCCGCTGCCGCCGCGCTGCCGGTGGGAGGGGCACTGGTGGTGGCCTGGGCGGCCCTCCGCCGCCGCTCGGGGCGCCCGGGCAGCGGTGGCAGCCTGCCGCCGCACCACTTCGAAATGCCCGCTGACCACTTCGAAATGCCCGCTCCGGCGGCCCGCGGTCGGCGCTATTCTTTTTTCTACAAGCAAAATTCGAGCCAATTGAGGAAACTGAAGCGGGCAGGCTGGAAGCACTGAGGGACGGCCGATTTTCGCCCAGTGGCAGGCCTGATCTTAGAATCGCTCGCTCGTAGTACGCAGAGCGAAGAGAGCGTCCGTGCATTTTGATGACGTAATTCTCCTTTTATCGCGAGAAAAATCGAAGAGTGTGAGCTGTGAGCTGTTACACACAGGCTGAGTGTGAATGCAATCACAGGCCGGAGGGGCCGCCGGGCACAGGCTGGCGCAGTTTGTATTTTACTCGAGGGAGCGGGCGGTGCCCCCGCGCCCCGGTGCCGAGCTAGGGGTAGGGCAGAGTGCCCAATTATGTTGTTTTCGTCTCCGCTTTATTTCTTCAATTTTTTCGTGAAGAACATGTGAGGTGATTTTCCGCCTCCTTCCATTTCTTGAGTTTTTGTTTTTCTTGTGGTCCCTCACTCCTTTCTGTCCGCGATGCCAGCCCTGCGGACTCTCACGCGTCGCCGGCGGCGGACGCGGAGGAGGGCGCGTGAGAGTTGCCCCACCCCTCGCTGCGGATGGTCGCATCGATAAAGTCGAGCGAGGCCGACGGCGGAACAAACTCGAACCCGGTCCCCTCGACGGTGAGCAGCAACTCCACGGCGCGGTCCAGCGAGAGGCACATCACGTCGAGGTCGTCGGCCGCGCCTACCCTCCGCCAGAGGCAAGACGGCCGTCTCATGGGGGGAGGGGTGCCGAGAGCTTTCCCTCGCCCACCGGCCCGCACCTACTCGCCAGCTCGTCACTCATGTGAGTCCCTTCCATCGGACATCCCGTGAAGAGCGTCGCGTCAAAAGTCGTCCGCGCCGCCCTCTCCCTCGGTCGCGTCGGCGGCGTCTCGCACCTGGGTCCACGAGCAAAGGTTAGCGGAGGGCGGCCACATGTGGCCGAGATGCAGCCGAGTGCAGCCGAGATGCAGCCGAGATGTGCGCCTAGGACGATACCTCTCCCCGTGACATCCCCACCCTCTCTTTAACACGCGGTGTGTTGTCGACGGCCCAGTCAGCAAGCATATGGGGCCCGAGCTCCGCGGCTCACGGCCCGAACTCCGCCCCTCCCCCCTTTTACTCGTGGTTTCGCACCGCCGCCAGCGCGTCGGAGCGGCTCATGAAGAGAGGGAGGATCGGACCCCTGCCCGGCCCGCCGTCACGGGAGATCTCGAGGCAGCCAAAGAGCGGCAGCTGCTGCCCGACGGGCGAGCTGCCCGCCTAGGTGTCTGAACTCGCGCCTCATCAGCTCACTGCTTGCGGAGCTCTGCCCGGGCGGCGTGCCGCCGCCGGAGCGCCCGCCGCCTCGAGCTCGAGCGCCGACGGGATCAGAAGCGCCTTGCCGAGATGCAGCAGGCGGATGTGCATGTGACATGTGCATTCATGTGTGTGCATGTGCGCATGCAGCATGTGCGTGTTGATGAGGAGCAGCAGGGACAGCGTCGGCGACGGCTACTGTGCCGCTCCAGGTTCGCTCCTCTCAGCGCTCTTTCACTGCCATCTCTGTGGAGGGAGGGGGCCTCTCATATTCACTCAGAAGCGCCTTGCCCTCCGAGGCGAGCCGGAAGGCCGTGCCGACTCCGACGGGGATCACGCCACAGTCCAGCTCCGGATACATCTTCCGCGCGTCGACGAGCTCCGCCTGCGCCGCCTGCACGTCCGCATAGAACATCGCGAGCGGTGTCCCGCCGGGCGCCTCGTACTCTAGCGGCTGGCCGCGCTCGTTGGCGACGGTGAAGGATGGCAGCCGGTTCAGAGACGAGAGCAGTGCCGGCCACTGAGGCGACTCGAAGAGCGCCGTCTTGCTGCCGTCCGTCGGCTCCTCGCTGCGAGATGCGTCGAGGCGCGGGCGGGGGGCGCGGGTGCTCGGGAAGCGTAGCCCGGCGACGAGAGCAGCGAGCGAGGCGAAAGCAAATCCGCGTCTCCCTCCCATATTTTCGGGTGCCGAAAAAGAATTTTGTAGCGTATTTATTTATGGGCACGGGACTGGCGCCGTCCTCCCATCCCTCCCTTGGGTTGTCTGTTTTCTTTCTTTCTTTTACGGGACTGGCGCGCACTGGCACTAACACAGGTACAACACGGGAGCCGCCTAAGCGACTCCTGCGAGGGTGGCGAGGCACTTAGCTCCGTGCACCCGCCCACCCCCGCCACAGGCAAGCTCATTCACGACCTGCTCTGCGATGGCCGTGTGAAGAACGACTGAGATGCGCTGCTTCTGCAGCCCCAGCCAGCTCTTGGTGGTCCAAGTCACCTCATCGAGGTACTGGGCCCGCGTCAGCTTGTTCTGTAGCACGTCCGCCGCCTTCCGGAGGATCTCACGGACCCCCTTTCCGAACCCGCCGAACGATTCGAACAGCAGCAGCTGCACTTCGACGCCCTTGTCTTCCCTGGCGTAGCGATAGTCCCCGCCGTAGGACGGTATGCGGCGGTCGCCGCCCACCACCCTGCCCCCCCTGGTATGCCAGCGCCCAGTCCCTTGCCCTCTCTCGCCCTTGCTCGTCCTCTCCCCCTCCATGCCGCCCCCCGGTACCCCCCCCCCCCCCCTCCTCCTCTCCCCCCCCCTCTCCCTGCCCCCCACCTCCCTCTCCCTCCTCGCAGTAGGGCCCATGCCCCATGACCATGTTCCGGTAGAATGATTCAGTGTTGCCGAAAGCGACAAAAGCGCCCTTCCGACCGTGCTCCCCGCTGCTGCTGAGGGAACAGACGACCTTGACATCTCCGCAATAGTGCGTGCCGTCCTTGCCAATGTTGTCCGCGTCCACGTCGGGTTGTTTGTTGTAACTCTGACCGAGGTGGGCTTTCGGCTCCATTCGCACAGCGGTGCCCCACGCGGCGCGTAGGGCGAGGATGAGGCGTCGAAGCGTGTACTTGTGTCTGGTGTTGTGGCCCTGCTGCGGTACGTTGACAGCAGCGTCGCCATACTCGTCGTGGGTCTGAAAAAGAAAAAGAATTTCGCGGCCTAGGCGGGGCGGGGGTCGGGGGACGGGGGGGCGGCGGGCGCGGGTGCGAGGTGCGGTGCGGTGCGTGCAATCGTGTGTTTGGCGTCATGTTGTGTGTGCCTTCGCTTGTTCCTATTAGCTCAAAAAGAATTTTTCCGAAAAGGAATTTTACCAGCAAACTCTCTCGCACACGCACGATTCACACAACAGGCAAAGCGCGGACGACGGCTTCTAATAGAATTAGAAGCCGTCGTCCTCACAGAAGCCGCCGTCGGATTCGCAGTCAGACGGCGGATGGTCGAATCCGCGAGCACCGTGGTGAGCTTCTGGTGAGCACGACCCTCCTCGCAGAGATCCGAAAGACGAGTGACTATGTGCTCATCCTCGAGACGGACCACGTCATCATGCGCCCCATCCCGAACCTCGCCACTCCTGTGTATGGCCCATCTTCTCTGACTTTTGAGAAATTCTTTTTCCGGCCCGACCTCTCTAATTGCCGCGCTGAATTTTAAAAGCAAAAGTTGACGAAGCCTCACAACCGGGGCCGGGGCGCCGGAAAAAAACGGGACTTGCCCGCTACAGAAGCCGACAAGAAGCCTGTGCCTTTTGGGGTACCCCGTTTGTGCCGCGTCCTGTGCCCGAGTTCATCTGTTACAGAAGCACATGAGTGTTCCTCGGATTTCCCTCTTGTTTGCGGCTGCACGATCGGCACGGCCCTGTACAGAAGACGCGGTGTTGCGAGGCGACGAAGCGGCGGTGCGTTCGTGGCTCGAGAGAGGCGGGCGAGCAAACACCACGCGCGAGTACGGCGAGGTAACCGGTGTTACCCTTCTGATGGACGCCAAAGGTGTCTTGCTCAATCTGGTGCTGCCGTACGACATGCTCAGGTCACCACAAGGCTTCTTCGGTTGTATTCAATCGATTCATGATCATTGGGCTTAGGGTGCTAGCGGAGCAGCTTTGCAGAAGCTGTTGTGCGCCTTGGTGGGCTCGCAAAGGCGCTCATTTGCATCGAAAAGTAGCCGTACGGAGCGTGTTTTCAGCTGAAAAGTGCGATTTTGAGTGATATGCGGCGGGTCCCAGGAAGCGAATGGATAAAAAAGTTCAGTGTAGCTCGTGTTGCTCTATCATAGGGCTACACAATCCATGCTTAACACCGGTCGCTACATCAACACCCGCGCGACGCACGCGAGTGATAATCTTTCATTGACCGGAGGTAGTACAACCTTACATTCCTTTGTGATCTACATCGGACGAAGCACTCTGGCTCACGTCGAGGCGGCGCTCGAGCGCGTGCGCGAGAAGAGGAAGCGGACGACGCGTTCGTTGGAGCGTATATCCTCCCGAAGGTGCTCCGAGATCGAGTCGTCCACAAAGAGCACGACGCCTTTGCCCCCGACGCCGCCGCCTTCGCCCCCGACGCCGCCGCCTTAAGAGAAGTTTTGAGCTGCAGCTGGGGCTCCCGTTCACACTCGTATCTGGCCTTTTCTCGGGGCCGCGCCTGCGGCGCGCCGTGGTTTCTTAGATGTTTGCGGAAATCGCTTGGTAGGGTTTGTGCATATGACGTTTTCTTAATGCGAACTGTAACCTGTCTGGTGTATATAGCCCCAGCCGACTCCGCGTGAACTCTCGAGGGATCTCGAGTTGCGGAGCTCCCTGCTGCTCGGTGTACGAACTCTGTTCACACCGAGCAGCTGGGAGTGGCTGCGGCTATAGCAGAAAACTGTACCGTCCCCCCAAAAATCCGAACCCAGCTGTTGCGCGCTCGCTCTGTATATGCCGTTCACCTTCCCCACGCCTTGGCAGCCGCCCGTCGAGCCTGGCCAGGCCTTCCGCGAGAGCTGCACCATGCAAGCGATTGTGAGCGGCGTCGTCGGCGGCGGCGCTGGGCTCGTGCTGGGCGCTGTGCTCACCCCGCTCAACTCGCAGCTGCAACAAGAGACGGAGCACCTGCCTCTGCGTGAGCAGATGCGGCGGGGGGTGAGGGAGATGGGCTCGCAGTCGCGCTCCTGGGGAAAGAATCTCCTCGTGATCGGCGCCGTCTTCTCAGTCTCGGAATGCTTTGTCGAAAAGTCGCGCGGACGCGTGTGTGACCGCCCGTTGCCTCCAGCCCGCGCGCGGCCCGCGCCTGTGCGATGCCTCCTCACTCTTCCCTGCGCGCCGCCCCCCGCAGTCTGACCGCTGGAACTCGATCTTCGGAGGCGCGCCGTTCGGCAGCCCGAGAGAAGACGGCCGCTCACACCCCTCAGCCCGCCACGGCTCGCCTCGATAGGCTGCCTCACCGGCGGCGTCCTCGCGGCCGGCGCGGGGCCGCAGGCGATGGGCGTCGGCTGCGCTGGCTTCGCCGCTTTCTCGGCCGCGATTGACGCTCTAGGATTTGGGCACTTTGACTGAGGCCGTCTCAGACGCACACCACGGTGCCAGTGTTCAGATGGTGTTCTGTGTGAGCGCACGGCGCCAGTGTTGGAGGGTGTTGGGTGTGAAAGCGGGCGGTGATTTCAGTGCACGTAAGATCTAAGACCATCATCACAGCACGCGGGTCATTCCGCGAGGCGCAGCAGAAGGAAACCGAAGCGCAAGCCGCTCTCCTCCCATGCCATCTCGAGACTCTCCACAGACAGCGTGTGGCGCCCAAACACGCACACATGAGCCGACGCAATCGAGCAAACGCGCGTCACACATCCCTCAGAATGTCGTTGCTCGAAGTGTGCAGGCTAAAGTTGCCAAGCGCTGGCCGCGAGCGAATGGAAGCCATGGCTGGTGAGATTGGCGGCGGCGCGTCGAGCGTGCGGCTGGTGAGAGCTCTCGGGGATGTCTCAAGTGGCGTGATGTCAGGCCTGCCGATTGCTCCTACCTGTATCCTCTCCAGTCCAACGGATTCCGCCATCGCCCCAGTTTGGGAATTCGGCAAAAGAATTCGCTCGCCGCCCGTGGCACCCCTGTCGTGTGGATGAACCCTGCCCAGCCCCCCTTCGTGTCGCGATGCGCTCCCCGCTCCCGTTCCCCCTTTTCCCTGATCGTCCTTACAAGATCCTGCTCGTGCGGGTGGGGACCCTGGCTGGGTCGTCCTTAAAAAGAAAGAAAACAAACCCAAGGGAGACGGCACGCCGCCACCACACAGGGATTTTAAGGAGAGGAGTGTGATGCGCTAGCCGTCGCCCACCCTGGGGAGTCTGCCTCTTCGTATCTCTTTTCGCAGTCTCTCGCCGCTTCTCGCTGCAACCTTCATGCCACCTCGCGGCCGTCCCACTCTCGCCGTTCTCTCCCTTGTCACTTCCTCCTCTGTCGCGTCGTTCTCTTCTGCCTCGTCCTGCGACGCCGCCGCCTGCCGGTCCCTTGTTCTCGCGGCTTCTTTCGCCTTTCGGCGCAACTCCGTCCTCCTCGCGGCGTATCCTGGCCCCTCGAGTCTATCGAGCTCCCCTCGCGCAAGGACGAGTCTTCTGACGCCCATAAACATGACTGGGTGGCAAATGATAGCACCTTGCCTTCTCTGTCGCCCTCTTGGCCCAGGCCCATCAGTAGCAGGCCCGAGCTGTCCCGAACCGCACTTACCTTGGGTCTGCAAGCTCACACCGGCTCGTGATGCCACGGAGAGGGCTCGAGATTGTCTCCGGTGGACCCCATCCGAGGCGATTCCGAGGGCTTTACGGAGGTCATTATCGGCGCCATCGACCGTGATATGTCTCGCCCCGCAGCCCTCATACACTAAGTGCATGCATGCAGTCATAATATGTAGGCCTTGTCTCCCGAAGTTTTGAGCAATAGCCGCAAACAACGCTTTTTGGCACTTGCATCGCGACACGGTCACACGCGGACGCTCCAGCGTCTCAGCTCACCATCTCGCCTCCTCTGTCGCCCTCCTGGCCCAGGCCCATCAGTAGCAAGCCTAAGCCGTCCCAGACCGCACTTACCTTGGGTCTGCAAGCTCACACCGGCTCGTGATGCCACGGAGAGGGCTCGAGATTGTCTCCGGTGGACCCCATCCGAGGCGATTGCGAGGGCTTTCCGGAGGCCAACACCGGCGCCACCGACCGTTAAATGTCCCGACCCGCAGCCCTCATGCACCAGGCGCATGGATGCAGTCATAATATGTAGGCCTTGTCTCCCGAAGTTTTGAGTAATAGCCGCAAATAGTACTTTTCGGCAGTTCATCGCAACACGTCCAGGTGCCGACGAAGCGGCTTCCCAGCTCACCACCTCGCCTTCTCTGTCGCCCTCCTGGCCCAGGCCCATCAGTATCAAGTCTGAGCTGTCCCAAACCGTCCTTATTTTGGGTGATGAAGCCCCCCCACTCTGGCTCATACCACGGCTCTTACGGCCTCATACACGCCCGTTTCACCCACAGACACCGCCGGCACGCACAGACTCCCACTTCACACATGCTCAAGCACAACCCCACCAAAGCACAGCCCTGCTCAGAGTAGTCGTGAACCACCCTTTGGCAGCCGTGGAAGCCCCACAGCCGCTGCTTCTCTCGGCTCCTCTCAATGCGTGCTGTGCACCACCCCACGACAGCCCACCGAAAGAGCACTGGTGCTCTCAGCGTGCGCCAGGGATGTGGGGTACCCATTACTGACCGGCGATGCGGGGATAAGCCGCATATTTGTCGGCGTTTTACCGTTTTACTTCTCGCCACTTGGCGTTACGGCTTTTAGTGGAGAGGACGAGACCCCAGCAGAGCCGTAGAGCGTAGTCGCCGACCACCCCCCACAAAGAACCCAGCAACACAAAGTCAAAGACCGCATGGGCGGGAACCGGGCAACCGGCTCCTTTTTTCTTACCCTATATACTCTCTAACCTGTGGCCTGTGCATGGCCATGGGGCACACTACGAGTACGTAGCGTCGTGGGGAGGGTGTCTCGAGGGGGACAGGGAGGTGTCAGCGTGACAGCGCGTCGAGTCAGAGCGAAAAACCGACCCCCTCTGTAGGCAAAACCACCTAGCCTTTCGCGATTCTTTCTAGTTTCTTACTAAACGCAATTCTTAATCGACAGAGTATCACCCACAGAGCCGCACCCGAGGGGGGGCGAGTGACGAGAGCAGAGTAAGGGGGGGTTAGAGCCGTAGGGGGCAGACAGAGCCGCACAGCTGTGATTGAAGGCGTGGTGTCGGCGACCAAGCTAGGCCCCGTCGGCAGCCGCCGTCGGGTGGAAGAAGAAGGCGGTGTACTCGCTGTCCGGCTGGTAGGGGACGTGCGTGGCGGTAATCGGCGGGGAGATCTGGCACTCGCCGGGCGCGCCACCCTCCTTGTACTGGCAGCAAAAGTCCTGGCCGGCATAGCCCAAGAAGAACTTGTGGTACTGCGCGTAGCTGAGGCACGTCTGCTGGCAGGCCGAGACGCTGTCCTCCGCCAGCTGCAGCGTGTGCATCGACGCGGGGACGTCGGGACACTTGGCGCCGCTCTGCTGCTGCGACGGCTGCCAGACGCCGTTGAAGGCGAAGCCGGGCTCGACGCCATCCGGCCCGTTCAGGTGGAAGCCGGGGTTCGTGTTTGTCATCTTGGGTACGTAGCCGCGAGAAGTCGCGTCCGTGTCGGCGCCGACGAGGCTGTCGATGGCAGCCACGAAGCCGTCTGCGGCGGCGACGAGGCCACGAGGAGAGGAGGGCGGAGAAGGAGGAGTCGCATCCGCCTGCTCGCCCTCGTTACCGTCGCCCATCATCATTGCCGCCATGCCTGCCATCGGGTGGCCCTGCGCAGCGAGTGCGACGCCCGCTAGCTCATTGTGGCCCGAGACGAGAGCCGCGCTCGCAAAAAGAGCGCTGGCAACATCGTCGTGCTCGGGGCTAGTCGGCACGTGTGGCACCGGGCGTAGGCCCGGGACGTTGGGGTGGAAGCCAGGCAAAGTTGTGGCGGGGAGCGAACGGCTGGTCGGCTGGTCCTCGTCGCCGCCGAAGGAGCCACCGTTGCCGCCGTTGCTGGGCTCGAAGCCGCCGTTCTGCTCCTCGTCGCCGCCGAAGGAGCCACCGTTGCCGCCGTTGCTGGGCTCGAAGCCGCCGTTCTGCTCCTCGTCGCCGCCGAAGGAGCCACCGTTGCCGCCGTTGCTGGGCTCGAAGCCGCCGTTCTGCTCCTCGTCGCCGCCGAAGGAGCCACCGTTGCCGCCGTTGCTGGGCTCGAAGCCGCCGTTCTGCTCCTCGTCGCCTCCGAAGGAGCCACCGTTGCCGCCGTTGCTGGGCTCGAAGCCGCCGTTCTGCTCCTCGTCGCCGCCGAAGGAGCCACCGTTGCCGCCGTTGCTGGGCTCGAAGCCGCCGTTCTGCTCCTCGTCGCCGCCGAAGGAGCCACCGTTGCCGCCGTTGCTGGGCTCGAAGCCGCCGTTCTGCTCCTCGTCGCCGCCGAAGGAGCCACCGTTGCCACCGTTGCTGGGCTCGAAGCCGCCGTTCTGCTCCTCGTCGCCGCCGAAGGAGCCACCGTTGCCGCCGTTGCTGGGCTCGAAGCCGCCGTTCTGCTCCTCGTCGCCGCCGAAGGAGCCACCGTTGCCACCGTTGCTGGGCTCGAAGCCGCCGTTCTGCTGCTTGATGCCTTGAGCGGGAACTTGCAGAGCAACACCACCCTCTGGCGCCGGGAACTGCAGAGCGCGTCCGTCTGGTACGTCGACGACGGGCACGGGCGCCGCGCAGGCGGTCGCAACGAGGACGATTAGGAGTCGTGAGTGGTAGAGCATGATGGGCGCTCGAGACGAGAGGTGTGTGCCGCTACTTGGAACTTACGGCCACGTGGGTCAACAGCGACTCAATCCAAGTGGGATGTCTCAGCTCCGATATGCCAGCGTGAATACCCGCGGGAGGCATATCTCCCGGACTCGGCCGGACTGGACCGGCGTATACCGGTGCACACCCTGCACGGTCACGGCGGGCACAGTAGAAACCACACCCACTGCACTCTCCAGCGCACACACAGCCGTTTACAGAACTTACAGGAGTCTACAGGGAACTTACAGGAGCCTACAGGGAGCAGAAGGCCGTGCCGGCGCGATTGGCGCCGTAGCTATCGCGATCACGACCGCCACACGACAGCAGCGGCCGCAGGAGGGGCGGCCGGTACCATGGCCGCCCTCAAAGCTGCCGACCGCCTACGGAACCGAAACCGGTCCTGCTGCGGGACCGCGGTGGTGAGCGCATCGTCGATCTCAGGCGGTGCAACGGCCTCGGCACGCAAAAGCACCGCCCCCGAGCGGCCCAGCGAGCCACCGCACGGGCACCGTGAACAGCGGAGTGAACAGCGGAGGTGCTCTTTTGCCTTTCCAAGAGAGCGCCGCGGTCGCGCGACTGAGGATGACATGCTCCGAGGTTGGTCGCGGTGAGTGAGCAGGGCTGCCGCGAGCAGGGCAGACAGAATGGAAGGCGCGCCGGCTGCTGGTGTGTCCAGGGCGCGCCGCCTGCTTGGTGTGTGGCAGCGACGAGCGCAGGCGAGCTTACACGGCCGCGCCTCCGTGCCGGTGCCGCCGCAGTGCTGCCGGCGGAACTTCCTACGGTGTGATGCGCCGAGAGGAGTGAGAGGACGTCAGGAGCGTGCGCACAGGCAGGGGTCCGAAAGGTTGCGTATCCTCGCGCACGCGAACCAGGGAACGGAGCTCGTTGGTTGTGCCTTCGCGAAGAAGAAGCAAACCGCGAAAAAAGAATTTTTACACGCCCGTTTTATTTCTTGCTTTCCTCTACTCGGTGTTTGACTCCAAGCGTACCATGGTAAACGTACCATGACTCCAAGCGTACCATGACTGCCAAACGTACACGAACACCGAGCCAGCGCGAACTCCAAACTATTCACAGAAGGGACCTCACATACCGGATACCGCCGGCGCAAACATGCTACTCTCTCTACTGCACAAACGAGACAGGCTGTCGCTCGCCGCCCACACTCAATTGTCCTGAGGAACCCCCTTCGAGGCCGCAGGCGGCCCCTTCCTCATGGAGAGGAGGTGGCCGCCCTGGCTGGGGGCCGCGGGCGCGGCAACGAAACAGCGACCACCCTTGCTACTGAACATAGCGGGAGGGCGGCGCCACCTTAGGGGCCGAGGGCCCCGGCGCCACCCGCCACGCCGCGCGCGCCGCACAAGGCTACGGCGAGCGCATCATGGCGGCCGTCCGCGCCGCCAGGCAGTGGCGGCAGGGCTTGGTGGGCGTGCACATGACCGACTTGGAGACCTTGGTGGAGTAGGTCGGGATGGTGAGTCCCGGGTGCGACTTGATGAAGTCGGTCACGATGCTGCCGACGCCCGCGTCGATGAAGTCCTGCTGCGTAAAGCGCCAGGCGGACGAGTCCTTCTTGTCGTGGCGGTCCATCTCGTACACGGTGGTCATGCCAGGCGGCGGGATGTCGACGAGCCCGACGAGGATCTTGTCGGGCGAGGCGAGGTTCTTGGAGTTGGCGTGCGGCTTGAAGGACACGGCGAACACCTCCTGGGACACGACGGCCTCCTTCACCTCCGAGATGCGCGCCTAGCGAGACGAGAGGGAGGGCCACGGTGTCAATCGTGACAGGTGGAGAGGTCAGGGCGAGAGGTGTGACCGCGCGCTCTGTGGCGACTCGCCTGCAGGGCATCGAGCTCGGCCTGCGCGCCCTCGCGGCCAGCGTGCGTCTTGGCAGACGAGTTGAGGTGCGCGATCACAACCTCCTCCGTCTGGGCGTGGGCGGCGGTGAGCATGGCGGCGCCGCGCACGGCGTACCTAGAGGAAGGAGACGTGGGGTGAGACGCACGCTCGAGAATGCACTCTTTATGTGGACAGCGCACTTGGCGTGCGCGGAGGCGAGCCGGCGCACCGCCGCGCGCTCGTTTGCGGCGTCCGCCTTGCGCTTCGCCACGCGCTGGTCGAGCGTCGCCGTGACGGCGGCGGCGTGCGTGGCGGCGGTCGCCTTGACGCGGTCCGCCACGTCCGCAACGAACGCGCGGCTGTGGAGCTGCGCATTCTTGGTGGCCGAAAGCGTGGGCCCGCCGCTCTGCGGCGTCCCCGGCAAGCTACGGTAGTCGGTCGGCTTGTTCGGCCCCTCGAGGTTGGCCAGGCGGTCCGCCACGCCCTGGGGCAGTGAGCGCGCGCCGGGGTGCCGGAAGGGCTGCGACGCCGCGAAGGTGGAGGGCGCCGGTGAGACGTTGGTGCCGCCGCCGTAGGCCTGCACGCCGCCGTTGGACCGGGCCGTCGCCAGAGCACGGCCCCCTGAGAGCGGTGAGGCCGTGGATGGATGAGCGCGGCCGGGAGAGAGGCAGAGCACAGCCGGCAGGCGGGAGGGAGGAAGGCGCGAACCTGCCTCCAGTTGCACGGGAAGGAGGGGCCGCGGGACGGCGTGGTGCGCACGTGGGGCAGCCGGAGGCGGCTGCGGCACCACCGCGAGGCTCGTCCGCATGCTTGCAGGCAGCCGCTGGAGCCTCGCCTCGCGGACCTTGATGAGATGCGGGGTGACGCCGTCAAACTTGCCTTCGATGACGTACTTGCCGTCGCCGAGGCACTCGACCACAACGACGCGCACGCCATTGAAAGAGGGCTGCGAGGTGAAGTCCTTGGTGATGAGCGTCTCCCCGCGCTCGAAGCCTGACGACGCGGGGCTGCGTGTCGGGTGGGGAAGGGTCTGAAAAACGCGCCGTGAGAGCGCTCACCCGAGGCGGGCGTCGGGGCGTCTGGCGGCGACGGAGGCGGCGAGATGCCGAGCGCCAGTGCGCCGCTCGCATGCCCCGCTGGCGCGCAGAGCGCGAGCGGCACATCGGACGGCGCACTGGGCGGCGGGAGCAGCGCCTACCGTGCGCGGAAGGGCCGATGCTCTTGTGAGCGGCGAGAGCAGGTCTCTGCTCAAGGCTGCCCGCCTGGTCCGAGCCTCCGATGGGGAGGAGGCCGCCGCCGCCGCCGCCACCGACGCCGCCGCCACCGACGCCGCCGCCACCAACGCCGCCGCCGCCAGCGGCGGCGGCAGCGGCGCCAGCGGCGCCGGCGGCGCCGGCCGCGCCGGGGCGGAAGCGGATTGAGCTCTGGTGCGGCACGACGCGGCCGCCGGAGAATCGGACCTGCGCGAGGAAAGCCTCCTGCTTGCTGTGGTCAGTGGTGAACGGGTCGAGGGGGTCCGTCCACGCGTAGTAGTCATTGGTGTCGTGCCCAGAGGCTCGGATGGCTTTGTAGTACATGACCATCCCAGCGCACTTGTAGAACATGGAGAGGTGGCGAAGATCATACTGGGTCTGGTCAAAGAGCTGCATGGTCCACCGGGGGAAGCCAGGAAAGTTGTCCATCATCGCCTCGATGTCCAGGTCGGGGAAGCTCGCCTTGAAGCGGATGAGCGAGGCGTTGAGCGACGGCCAGTCGTCGTAGATGGAGACGAGGTAGATCCAAGGCTGGTGCATCTGGCGGTAAGCGGCAGGCGACCACGCTATCATGGCCTTGACAGTCGCGGGCGAGATGTGGCCGACCGTTTCCTTCACCTTGTTGCGCCATGTCTGTAAGTCGAGGGCGAGTGAAAGTCAGCGAACGCGACAATCAAGGGCACTTCGGCGAATCGGCACCACACTGTCTACGGTGGGAGCGCGCACGTCGCCATCTTTGTTGATGCCGGCGCCAAAGGTGGACCTCGTGATGCGTCCCGCGATCCAAGTCGCGTCGTAGGGCTTCTTCCAGACCTGGCGGCGGCGGTGAGGGCGAGGTGGAGGGCGGCGGCGGTGAGGGCGGCGGCGGGGCGGGTGGCGGCGGGGCTGGTGGCGGCGGCGAGGGGGAGGCGGGTACATAGAGTTGGAAGAAGAGCAGGATGGCGATGAGCGCCATCGCCTCTTGCGGCATCGGGTGGACGGGGTGGCGCGAGTCGGCCATCATCGCGACCGCCGGGGCGAGGAAGAGAAGGAAGAGCCTGAGGCAGCATGGGAGAGATCAGCATGGTGGCAGCCGACCTCATCGGGGTGTCGGGCCATCCAGGGGACGTGTCTTCATCACGCGGGCGAGGCGTCGCGGCGGCTGGCGAGGCATCGTCGGCTGCACGCGCCTCGCCGAGAGCTTTCCAACGATGTAAGGCATGTCAATGGAGGCCGATCTGGTCGCAAGCAAGGACTGACGATGTGCTTCCTTGGCGCCGCGGCGCCTCAATTGTGTCCTTACTTTCCTCGCTTTTTCCAAGCTGAAAGGCGAGGATGATGATGGATATGGCCAAGTTCGCGCAAAGCACAGTGCACGCCGATACGGGATATCCCGCTGTGGTCGTCCAAATGATTTGGGACAAATACAGTGGACCTGACGCGTCGTTTCGAGGGCAGCTCCCGCCTGCGCCAACACAGTCTGACGAGCTCTGTCGCGCCGGACACCTCTACGTGCTGCTGATTTACATCCACAAGCACCACAGCCCGCAGGACGCGCATTACTACCGCCTTCCGGCCTACCCGGAAATCAAGATTTCGAAAGACACCATCTACCGCAAGGTGCTGCCGCTCGGCCGTGCGCTGGTTGGCATCATCGATGAGGTCGACTTCAACCGCCGCCTCGATCCGTTCAACCATCCGGCGGTGTCGGCTTTCAAGTACCATTACACCACCCTCTGGGACACCTTCCCCATCTACGTCCCGGAGCCCTCCGACTTCGCCCTCGCCGCCCTCCTCTACCAGCCAAAATACGGGGTGCGAGATGTGCGTCTGTGATCCCTCTGTTAGTGATGTAGAGCAACGGCCGTGATTCTCAGGCGTGCTGCTACAAGATTCAGATGGGCATCTCCTTCACCGGCGAGATTGTCGCCTTCTCCGGCCTTTACTTTGGGACCGTGCACGACATCGCGATCTGGCGCGCGACCTCGCCTTCCCTGGCCCTCTTCCCGTGGGAGCTCGGGATGGCCGACCTCGCCTACGTCGGTGCGGCGGGGCTGGTCACCAAGATCAAGGGAGCCGTGGCGCCGGCCGACATCCTGTTCAACAACATCCACGAGCACATCCGCAATCGCATCGAGAACGTCATCTCGAAAGTGAAGGCGCGAGCGCTGTCGCGCCAGCCCCTCTCCCGCCCTCTTCTCGCTTCCTCACAGTACAACCCCGCCTCGTAATGCAGGCACACCGCATCTTTCAGCCAGGCGTCTTCCGTGGCACCTATGAGAACATCGAGATGGCGACCATGATCACGGGCCACCTCACCGCCCTCGAGCAGCGCCTCTACCCCCGCTTCCCGGGCTACGGCCCGTGGCAGCACGCTTACTAGGCGCGGGCCGGCTCGGACCGCGCTCAAGACCTTCCCCTACCCTGCCCCGCCCCTCCTGACCACGCCCTGCACGCCTGCGCCGCACCGCGCCATGCTGCGCCGCGGCCAATCGCGCTCCCACGGGCGTCCAGCACTCTCGCAGCAGCAGACCGTTCGGTGTCTTGTCCGACGGTGTGTTCGACCCGAGTGTGCGTGTGGTATAGTAAAACATGTGCATTACTACCGAGTATCTATCGCCTCAATCGCGCCGCCACACTCAATAGAGGCGTGGCCGGCTTTTGGGCGTAGACCAAAACTTACAGCTGTCTACAGGATACTTACAGGGACTGTCTGTTCTTACAGACGCTTACACGAGGCATACCCACGCCTACCAGGCTTACCGTGGGGTGGTACTTGGGGCCATATACACCGGTACGAACCGGTTGGGTCCCGTCGGCAGCGGGGTGCGCGGGGAGAGCCTTCCCACACCGAAAATTGGCCTTCACACCGCGCCTGAGACATGCCACCAATACGCAAATCCAATCGGCAAAGATAAGGCCAAGGGAATGGCAGAGTCGAACGGCGTCTCTGCCTTGAGGGAATGCCCATGGACGTGCCAGAAAGAAAAGAAATTCGCGGGCCAGGTGTGAGGTGTGAGATCGGGACAGATAGGTGACAGCAAGCAAATTCGACTTGGAACAGAAAGCGAGTTTTTGAGCCCAAATTGCCAGCAGCCCATAACAACAACCAAGAGATGCTCGCCCTCTCCAGCACGGCTGCGCTCTCCTTCGCCGGCTCCGGCCTCGCGGGCGTCTCGTCGCGGGCTGGCGGCGCGGCGATGGTGGCCAAGTCCAAGCAAGGCCATCCCCTTCCTCCCCGCACTGGGAGGGTATCAAATCAAGTTTAGCCTGGGACGGAGCGGAGCGGGCAGTCTGCCGCGAGCCGCGTCGCGTCGCCATCGGGCTGGTTTCAAAGACGCGAACGCCGCCAAGGAATATGAGACGTGCCGACCATGTCGCAAACTCGCAAGCCCGAAAGGACGCACGACGCAATCACCTCCGGCACGACGATGGCCACCCCGCGCGCCGACGTCGACGACATCAACGTCGACGTCGAGCAGTCCGCCTCCGCCGGCAAGCCGGCCAAGAAGCGCACCAACCCGCTCGCGACGATCTCCAACCTCCGCCACATCCTCAGCGTCCACAAGGCGGCGGGAGCCGTGGGCGGGGCCGTGGGCGGGGCGGTCGACACCGCCGGCGCCGCCTCTCGCGAGACGGCGCTGCTCGCGGGCCGCACGCTGCTGATGCTGCTCAACAACCCGATCACCGGCCCGGCCACCATGCGCATGCTGCGCGAGGGCCCCGACACCGCCACCGCGCTCCTCGACCTGCTGCTGGTGCCCGTGCTGCCGACGGTGCGCATGCTCGTGGGCAAAGAGCTGATTGAGATGTCCCAGCCTGGCGCGGCCGTCTCCGTCAACAGCGTCATCACCTTCGCCTTTGCGCGCCGCCTCAATGTCGAGCCCGGCGACCTGCGCGCGGGCAAGGTCGTCCCGGAGCTGAGCCTGCGCCTCTCACCCCTCGCGGCGGGGCTCGGCGGGATGGTCAAGATGGTCGGACAGGGCGGCGCCGCCGTCGGCTCCACGGCCGCGTCCGCCGTGCCCGGCAAGAAGACGAAGAAGGCGAAGGCCGACGACGCGCAGGGCTCGGTGGCGGCGCTCAAGGAGCTGCGCGACGCGGGCATCATCTCGGGGCGAGAGTACGAGCGGAAGAAGGCAAAGGCGCTGGGGACGAACGCGGAGAAGGCGTACGAGGACGGCTTCGCCGCCGGGCGCGCGGCCGCTCGGGCGGAGCGCGGCCCCTTTGCCGCCTGCCTTCCCAAGGCGCAGACGGCGGCCGAGGCGGCAGAGGCCAAAGCGGCGGCGGAGGCCAAGGCGGCGGCGGAGGCCAAGGCCAGGGAGGAGTGGCCGGTGGAGTACCGCGACATCAAGGAGCAGATCATCAAGATGACGCCCACGCTCAAGTTCTCGCTCTCGCTCGGCCAGCTCGACGCCTATGTCGGCGCGACCGGCTGGCTCGGGTCGCTGCTCTCGGGCTCGACGCAGCCGTCCGAGGCGGCGCTCGCGCGGCTGCGGCTCGAGCGCGTGTCGGTCGAGGCGCGGGTGCGCATCTTCTGGCACCCGCGCGCGCAGAAGGCCAAGGTCGTGATGCTGAGCGAGCCGCCGCCCAAGGTGGTTGAGCTGTCGCACGAGCTGACGGTCCTGCGGTCGTGCGCGGTGCCGCCCGAGCTCAACCAGCGGCTGCTCGAGCTGGTGCTGCCAAAGCTGGCGGGCAAGTTCTTCGACATCGACCTGAAGCCGCCCCGCGGCGAGGACGCCGCGCCGGACAGCGGCGACGAGGCTGCGGGCAGGGCGGGCAAGAAGAAGACGAAGAAGAGCTCCTCGGGGAAGAGGAGCCCGCGGGAGTCCAAGGCGGACGACGAGGCCGCGGACGACGAGTGAGGCGGGGGCGCACCGCCGCGCACCGCTCCTCGCAGAGGCGTCTATTGCACCAGTGGCGCTGTCGCCGGCCGAGCCGCTCGCCGAATTTGTTGCGCGAACTGTGATTATGCTTATGGCGCTCTCTTCCGCCTCCCCGTGTCGTCTGCTCTCTGCAACTAACTGCATCGCCTGGCGATGGGTCCTCCATCGTCGGTTGCGGTCGCCGCTCCCTCCTCGACTCCTGCGACTCCTCGTGCCTCTTGTTACCTACGTTCCCTCGGCGGCCGATGCCGTCCGCTCCGACTCCGCCGTCCGCCGCGATGCCCTGCTCTCGTCTGCGCTAGTTTCTGCTTCGTCAGTAGTTCAACCCCGACCCCCCCTTTTCGCTCGGGAGAGGCCTACCCCCCCCCCCCCCCCCGAAGGGGGCCCCGAACTACGTACCACTTCGCCGAGTCTGGTCCCCACACGACTCCCAGTGTGAGTGTCCCGATCTGTGTGGGCAGTGGCGGGGAGTCCGTATATACTTTACGTAACTTTTTTCTTTCGGTTAGTCAAGTCTCAAGAATTGTTTTGCAAAAATGTAACACACGTCGCACGTAAGCGCGCGGCAGGAGAGAGCGTCAGGCCAGCGAACGCCGCCGCGCCACTGCTCGAAGCGGCGCGGCACACATCGTTCTCAGGCGACGGGCGGCTCCTCGCACAGTGCCGCCGCTACGTGGCCGACCACGCCGCCGAGGTGCAGCGGCCTATACTACGCCGCCTGCGCCCATTCCGCATGCCGCTTCTCTACCGCCGCCTGAGGGGAAGGGGGGGAGGGGGGGGGAGTCCATCCGTGGTCCCCTTTGGAAGCTCGCCTCGGCGGTCCCAACTAGCTCGGGTGGGCCTCTCGCCCCCCCCTCGCCCCTTCTCGCCTCCTCTCCGCAACCTCCTCCCTCTCAGCTCCTCTACCCTCTCTGCCCCTCTCCCTCTCTGCCCTTCTCCCTCTCCCTGCCCCTCCCCCTCCCCCTCTCCCTCCCCCTCTCCCTGCCCCTCTCCCTGCCCCTCTCCCTGCCCCGCTCGCCTGCAGCTGCGACTCGAGGGCCGGGTCGTACCCGAGCTTGAAGGCGACCTGTGGGCGAAGGGTCCAGGAAGGGTCCAGGAAGGGTCCAGGAAGGGTATAGGAAGGGTCCAGGAAGGGTCCAGGAAGGGTCCAGGAAGGGTATAGGAAGGGTCCAGGAAGGGTCCAGGAAGGGTCCAGGAAGGGTCCAGGAAGGGTCCAGGAAGGGTCCAGGAAGGGTCCAGGAAGGGTCCAGGAAGGGGCCAGGAAGGGGCCAGGAAGGGGCCAGGAAGGGGCCAGGAAGGGGCCAGGAAGGGGCCAGGAACGGGAGGGGCAGCGAGAGCGGCAAAGCCGCATCCCGAGCTAGACGGCCACCTCCATCCAGACGAAGAGCGGCGCGTCCATGAAGGACTGCACGAGCGCGTCCACCAGCGCCGCCTACACCCGCCCACCGGACATGTCCCGGACATGTCCCAGACACGTCCCCGCCACACTCTGCGTAGGCGCGGCGGGGCGGGGGCAGAGGGAGGCGGAGGGAGGAGGGAGGGCGGCGGAGCAGGGAGATGGGTGAAGAGGAGAGCGGGCGGCGCAGGCAGGCGGAGGAGGAGGGCACGCAGCGGAGGGGTTGGGCCACTCCTTGCGCACTCTTCCACAGTGGGGCACTCGCAGCGAACTGTGAGAGTCCGTGAACCGTCACTGACCAACTGCAGTGTCGAGAGCAGAGAGGAGTGGGATGGGGCGCGGTAGGCCTTGCGGCCCTCGAAGAGGGCGTGGCCAGGGTGCAGCTGCATGTACCAGCCCAGCACGTGCAGCGCGCCCGCCCACAGCGCGGCGCGGCCCTGCTGTTCCCTCGACGGCACCGCGCGCGTGCCGCTCTTTGCTCGCTCGCGCTCCACCACGCCCGTGGCTCCGACTGCAAAGGCAAAGGTGAGGGCGGCGACGAGGGAGCCGACGAGCGGCGCCGCGTGCACGAAGTGCAGCGACCACGCCGCCGCCGCGAGCGTCGCCCAGTTGAGCGGCAGCCCGAGCGGCCTCGCGCGGGCGAGCGGAGGCACGTAGGCGAGGAAGACCATCGCCGACGCGACGAGGAGCGGGACGAAGACGATGTGGACGAGCTGGTTGCGCCAGTCGGAGTGGTAGCTCGCGTAGAAGGTCAGCTCCTCGACGAGGTCGAAACTCGTGCCCCACACGCGGTGCAAAGCAAAGGCGGAGAGCAGCGGCACGACGAGGTACGCGAGGCCGCAGCGCGCGCGCTGCGAGAAGATGGAGCCGATGAGCAGGCCAAAGACGCCTCCGATGAGGGCAAGGTTGGTCGGGTCGGGCATCGTCGCGCGATGCGCCGTACCAGGGCAGGCCCTAAAGAAATTCTTTGTAAGCCTGATAAAGAAAAAAATCGTCATGTCCCTGCCCATGCCCATGCCCAGACCGCTAACTCGACCGAGCCCAAGCAGCGCCGGGACGCTCCTCTCCACCGTGATGCTCCTCGCCATCATCGTCACCACGACGTGTCAGCTGCGGACGGGCGTCGCCCACGACATCGTGCGCCCGCTCTCCAACGTCGCCGAGATCCCTGCCTCGCCTGCCAGGAGCGGCGTCGAGCTCCTCGCTGGGCAGGTGCGCGGGTAGGAATTCCCTATTGTGATGTTAGAGGTGGGTTAAGAGGGAGATTCGCGCGAGCTGCGGGACCGCCGGGACGGCGGGCGGGTGATTGCGAGCCGCCACGTTTGGCGACTTTTGGCGACTTTTGGGACGCGCGATCGACCGAGAATCGAAGATGGCAGGCGAGGCCGTCACGGCCATGATCGTGGTTGCCGACGCCGGCGACAACCCGCTGGCGGACCGCCGCGAGGACCGGGAGGCGGCGGCGGCGCGGGAGAAGAAGGCGAAGGTGGCGAAGCTCAACTCGCAGACGGCGAACGCGATGGAGGTGAATTCCTAGACGAGCTCTGCACCAATACTCTGCCGCGATCCGGATTTTAACAGCTACTTGGAGCAGTTGAAGTGCAGTCGGCAGCCTCACATCCATGGCCGGGGAGCTGAGAAGCGCACCCAGCGGGCCGGATGATCGGGATCGGGTTGCGGGCAACGCCCCGGTTTATTTTTTATTCTCGCCCGGCCATATTACGGGTGTGTATATGAGCACTCCCTCTCCGCCGTCGCCATCGGCGCTGCCCAAGCCCTCCTTCAGCCGCCCGCTCGGTGCCAAACCAAAGGCGCGCACGACACCCGACGCGGCCGCCAAGCAGCTTGCCAAGGTCGCGCTGGGCTCAGCCTCGAGCAAGGCTGCCGCCTCGAGCAAGGCTTCCGCGCCGCCTGCTGCAGCTCCCTCACGCGCGCCTGCAGCTTCGGCCTCGCGGCCGATCGAGCAGTATCCGACGGGCGTCGTCGGGGTGAGCTCCGAGTTCTCGAGCAGCGACAACTCCGCGCGGCAGCTGCTCGGCCGCCCGGCCGTGTATCCCAAGGCTGGCTCCAGCGTCCGAGCGTGGTCGCCCGTCCCTCGCGAGGGGGAGGACCGCGAGTGGGTGCGGCTGCTCTTCCGCACCGCCGTGGAGCCCTCCTCGGTCACCGTGTACCAGTCCTTCAACCCGGGCTCCCTCGTCGAGGTTCGCGCGGCGACCGAGGTCGGCGGTGAGGGCGGCGAGGCGTCGGACTGGGCGACCATCTGGCGGGGAGAGAGGTACAACACCGACCCACACCGGCAGCCGAGCGACGCGCTCGAGCTCAAGGTCTCTCCCGGCACGCTTCCCGTCCGCGCGATTGAGCTGGTCAGTTTCCGTCTCCGCCGCCACACTCGCCACGCACGCACCGCCACCGCCACCCTCGCCGCACACACCGCCACTGCCACACTCGCCACGCACCGCCACCGCCACCCTCCCCCCCCACACCGCCACTGCCACACTCGCCACGCACACACCGCCACCGCCACGACACCCTGTCCCCCGGTGGTTGCCCCGCACCCGCACACGACTCGCCACCCCTCCCGCCCCCTTCTAACCCCTCCACCCCACCCCACCCCACCCCACACCTCCCTCCCGCGCGCGCTGGGCAGGTCCTCGACACGACAGGCTGTGAACAGCGTCTCTTCACACCCATTGCTGTGAACAGGTGCTCGACACGACAGGCTGGTCCGACGCCTTTTGGAGCGAGCCCCCGCCTCCGTGCGGCGATTCACACAATGAGTCGACTCACACGAGATGGGCCTATGAATAGGAGCGAGATCGACTCCGTGCGGCTGGTTGGCACGCCCGCCTCGCTCTCTCCGCCGCCGCCCCACCCCTTCGTGACGCTCCAGCCGAGCGAGACGGAGTCAGCCTTTGCGGAGAGCGCTCGGTGGGTGCACCGCCGATTCGGCCCGCCGCCAGCCGGTGACGAGCGGGCGGCCATGCAGCAGGCGCACCCCCCCCACACACCCACGCACACACACACACACGCACACAACACAACACAACACAACACAACACACACACACACACACACCACCGCTCACCCACGCGCACCGGGCCTCGCACCTTTAATGCCGTGGGGCTCCTGTCGTCTAGACGTCGAGTGTCGAGGGTTGCCCCCCCCCCCCCCCGCCCCCCCGCTCCCTTGTGGAAGGAAGGTTACCTGACCTGACCTTTCCTAGGCGGCCCTCTCGATGGTCTGGGCCAACAGCCGTCGCCTCGGCTGTCGCTACCCGGCGAAGGTGGAGAGGAGCGCCGGGCTCAAGGGGCGTCCGATCGCGGCGAGCGGCGCGGCGCTAGACGGCGAGATGCGCATGCGCGGGGCAAAGTGAGGCAGGTGAGCCGCAGGCTGGAGGACAGGGGACGCGTCGGTCTCAACCGAAGGACGCAGATATCGCGAGATCCCCGAGAGCGCCACAGCCGCTTGCGAGTTGTGTGGGGCGTGTGGCCTTTTGGGTGTTGGGAGAGATGAAGAGATGCCTGCCCCCGCCGCAAACAGTTTCACATTTCACAGATTTTGGTTTTGTTATTTGTGTGTCGCACAGGGCACAGCTCTCGTGGAGTCGCACAGCACCAGTGCATTACGGGGTGTTGGAGGGTGTGAGGTTGACCACACTTATTTCGAGAAATTGAAGCAAACGACCCACAGACGACTTACTTCAGCCAACACCTCAACTGACAGACAAAAGCAAGCGAACCAGAACTAAGACAGTGCGCGTCACTCGCGGTGTGAGACTGCCGGGACAACCCAACACCAACACTCGAGTGCGCGCACAGCCGAGCGGCGCGGCGACACGTACGGCGGCGGAGGCCATCATCTCTCTCGATCTCGCATCTCTCGCATCCCGCATGCACATCACAGCGGCGACAGACACGCACACCACACTCCCCCCCTCCCCTCCTCACAACACCCTCCATCACGCACCTCCTCTCCTCTGTCCCTCGGTGCATCTAAGCACAGCAGTGGCGGGCAAGCCCCAGCTCACCGACACAGCGAAGGCGGCCGCAAAACACAAGAGCCGCCGGACGGCCCCGTCAGGCGTCCTCCCCCCAACCCGCACCAGCCCCGGCGCGGCTGGTCTGCTCTACGCCAGGCCGCGGGTGGAGCGAGCTGGCGGCGCGGCCCTCACGCGCCGCCCGCAACGGGGCCGGAAGCCCGCTCCTCGCGCCGCTTGCC